GTGGCGCGTGCGCAAGTCTGGCTCCCGGAGGGCGCGCGCCGCCTCGTGCGAACCTGCGGCTGAGTCTAACGAGCCAGTTGAGGCTCCTTGTCACTCGCCAGGTGTTCCGGCTGCTGTTGATTACTGGGCAGGATCGAGCTGGGAGAGTAGGGACGCCTTCCTAGGAGACCTTGGGGCAGATATCTCGGCAGGGCTCTGGGGTGGCGCGTGCGCAAGTCTGGCTCCCGGAGGGCGCGCGCCGCCTCGTGCGAACCTGCGGCTGAGTCTAACGAGCCAGTTGAGGCTCCTTGTCACTCGCCAGGTGTTCCGGCTGCTGTTGATTACTGGGCAGGATCGAGCTGGGAGAGTAGGGACGCCTTCCTAGGAGACCTTGGGGCAGATATCTCGGCAGGGCTCTGGGGTCCGGGCCTTTGCCCTGCTGCTACGGTCGGTCTCCTTCCGCTGCGGGTGGTTGCTGATATTGGAAACATCTGTGTGAACGCCGCTTGTGCCCGCGCTCCAAACCTGGGCACCTTGCCGCGCGTCCCCGTTTAAAAGGCCGAACCAGAGGAAGAAAGTGATAGCCAGACTGCCTAGCTTTGATTGCTGTGTTGCCTTGGGCAAATTACTCAACCTCTCTGTGCCTCCATTTCTTCAACCCTAAAACGGAGATAGTAATACTCCTTTCTCAATGAGAATATGAGTGTTTAACTACTTACCAGTCCAGTTATTTAAATACAAGATGACGGAAACTTGCATATTTTTTCATTAATTTTGTAAGCTATAACAGGAAATATAAAAACGACAATTTTATCAAATGCATTCAATACAATAATCAACTGGTGGAAATTACACCTCCCTGAGCAACACTTGAGATAGTGAGTCAACAAACACGCTGCCCAGGTGACAGTTGGGGTAAACTGTTAAGTGGTTTAAATGAGTTAATAGATGTCAAGTGTTGATTACACTGCCTGACAGTGTTTATTAAATGTCAGCTACGATGTTTGAGGCACTGGTTGAGGCAGTGGGACTCGACAAATTCTGATTGTACCATCAGCCCTGATGGGCAAAAGTGCTCCAGTGGAGACAGTCTGGGCTTCTAAGTTGCTGGGGGGGTCTGGAAATGCCCATAGGTTGAGGAGGAAAGAGAAGGGACAAAATAAGTAGCAGGCATGAGACCATTCTGGTCATCTGGATTCTCCTTCCAAAAGACCAGTTGCAGATGGTGTGGTGGTACACATTTGTGATTCCAGCGTTGAGGAGGCTGAGGCAGGAGGATCTGGGGAAGTTAGTGAGGTTCTGTCTCAAAAAGTTGAAAAAGAGCTGGGGTTGGAGCTCTGTGCAAAGGCCCTGGGTTCGAGCCCAGGATTGGGGGAAGAGCGATGGGAAGACTGGCTGGTTTATAATTTAGTTTAATCTCTGTGAGTGCATCTGGTGAGGGAAACTCCAGAGGTCCCAGTTTGGCCCTCTTCAGACCACAGGCCCTGACTTCTGCTTTAGCGCACAGAAGCCCATCTTCCCAGTCAAAGAAGCAAGCTGAGGGTTCCAGGCTCTCTTCCCCACTGAGGCTCCTCTCCTTCCCGTACTAGCTTCACTGCCGCCCTGCTCGACTTCCTGTAAGGTCTGAGCTCTCCCGTGTTAGGCCTGTTACCCCAGCCCACTCTGGTTTCGCCCAGGGGAGCACACAGGCATCAGCAGCGGGGATGGTGCACCCAGGGGCTGGCAGGAGAGCTGCCTGGCCAGGCTCAGGGCCCTGGGTCCCACCGGGAAATATGCTCTTGAGCTGGAAAGGAAGCACAACAGGGTGGTGCTTGGTGGCAGAGTCCTGGGATGGGGACCTCATACCCTGCCAGCAGGTGCTGCTGGTAACTGGTGCCAGGCCAGGTGTACCCCGTGGCCTCCCCCATGGCTCACTGGGCTCTAGTGCATCACGGAACATCAGGGGCCCAGACAGGCCTCTAGGTGGGAAGGCCCTCACCAAACTGGCAGATGTAACGGTTCCGGGTTTTACAGCGTTGGTCATTCCAGTTGAAGGCAGATGATGCCTGCAGCTCCACACAGTTGCCAAACCTGGGCGGTCAGGATATGGGTGCACAGGATGGAGGAATGAAATTAGGAGTGCAGGTGAGTCTTAAACCGTCCACCCCAGGAGGCCAGCCCCTTTTTCAGCCCCCATGCTCCCATCCTGCTTCTTCTAGGGCACTGCAGCTCTTCTCAGGGAAGCCAGGAGGTGTCGCAGCCTTCCACACCATGGCAGTGCTCAGCCACACCAGCCAGAGGGGTGGGCCTGGGGCAGAGAGGGGCCGCCTTATTTCCATCCCAGCAGAAGCGGTGGCAGGAGCCCGATCAGGCCTGGCTGCCTGCGAGGAGGGCTGGGGAAATGTCTGGAGACCTTGGCACCCCTGCCCTGAGCATTCCTGGGCTTTAAAAATCAGGGCAAGGCCACATAACTGGAAGTTCCTTAGTACAGGATAGCTGATGGGTGGCTGTGTGCGTGGAGGATGCAGTCGTGGACAGCTAGAGTGCTGGAATCAGTGTGGTGCCAGGCAGAGGGCAGGTGGGTTGGTGGAGGGAAGAGCCAGTGGATGACGGAGGGACAGCGGAGCGGGTGAGAGACAGGTAGAGGGATGAGGCCTTCATGGGGTCCCCCTCTTTCGTGTGATATGCCTTCTCCCTCAGCCCCGGGCCTGCACCAGCTGCACCCCAACTTCCCTGACACTGGCAGGTAAAGCCCTGGCCTTTAGAGGGTTTTTCAGTGGACTCCAAAGGCTCAGCCAAGCCAGCCCAGGGGACAAGAGGCCCAGGGGGAGGTGGCCACCCCAGACTCACCCCTGGTTGTCAGGCTGACCGAAGGCAAAACTGGTGAAGGACTGTTGCTCTCCAGTGGTCCAGCGGAAGGAGTCCTTTGCCACCTTGTAAGTGAGCCCTGGGTCGGTAGCCAAGGTTGCCACCACCCGAGAGGTCGGGGCCCCACTCAGACCCTGAGCCCAGGGCCCTACTGCCTCATCCCTTTTTGCCCCAGCCCTTAAGCCCCTCGCCCCAGTCTTCCAGCCCCCAACCCCTCCCTACAGCCCTTTCCTGGCAAGGGGGTGGCGGTCCGACTCAAGGCCCACTCCAGGCTCCAAGCTCTCTCCATACTGCTGTGAGCTATCAGCGGATGTGCTGGTTGCTACAGCCCAGGACTCTAGGAGCTGCCCGGGGCATCAAGGCCCACTTTCACTGTTCCCCATCCGGCCAAGGCACTCACCAATCCAGAAATTCCTGGTCTCAAAGTCACTGTCAGTCACTTCGTTGGTCGTCTCCAGGCGGCCCAGGTAGAAAGCGAGGATGTCCTGCACTTTCTGACTCTCAATCTGTGCAAGCACCCCGCCCTTTCCCTGTAACCCCAACCCAGGTCATGCTGGCAGAGTTCCCGGAGTTTAGCCAGCCCTTCCTGCCCATCAGGCCGCCCTACCCCATCATGGCAACGGACCCCACATATGTGTGTGTGTGCGTGCGCTGGCCTGGCTGTCTTCACACCCAACCCTAACAACCTCGGGCCTCAGGGACAGGGGTCCCCATTCCCCCCCTGCTTCTCCCCTCTCCGTGAACATGGGCCCAACTGACAGCCCACAGGCTCAAGCAGGGTCTTGCCTTCGTGGGTTTTGTCCCAGCTGCACAGTTTCTAAAACATACACTGACTGAATCGATTGCCAACATGGACACATCCAGAGACGCAGTGAAAATCTGGATTTCTGGTTTTGAAAGCCCTCAGTTTTGGCCACTCTGACCCGCTGTAGGGGAACCAGCAGCTGGAGCTGAGTCAGGACAGCTCCTTAGATGTGGGATTGTGACGCTGGGTCCTTCATGTCCTTGCGTGACTTCCTGACCGTGAGCCTCAGAGTCTGTGACTCTGCTTTATACCAGTGGAGAGAGAGAAGTGAGGAGCTGTTGAAGGGTCCCTCCGTGACGTCCCTAGTGTGAGATCCTGGGGTCCCCTGGGAGGCAGGGCTCGGTGGTCACCTGGCATTTCATCTTGGCTCCGTAATAGGTGTCTGCCTCCGAAGACACAGTGAAGCAGTCCCCGTCGATGCTCAGGTCGCAGGTGTGGAAAGGAAAGCGCACCTTGGCTGGGGGTGGGGTGTCAGGGAGCCTGAGCATGTGTGTGTCACCCTCAGGCGTCCCCTTCTCCCACCCTGCCGGGGAGCTGAGCTGGAGGTGCCCTTTCCGCTGGCCCCAGCTGGAGAAGGGCGGGAGTGAGTGGTGTGCTGGTAAATGTGTAACAGGAGCTGCTGGAAAACAAGATCCACGGCTCTTAGCACTGGCCAGTTTCAGTGGAGTCAGTACCCGCACCATGGCCAGTGCTTAGATGTCTTCATGCAGCTTTTGCAGAGGTGGCTGGATCTAGAGTGTGTGACACTGAGCTTGATTCATGGAGGATTAAGGCGTGAGTGCTACCTGCCCTAAGTAGTCTGGATGAGATAAAAGGGGCAGAAAGATGCCACTAAGGTCTCTTCCTGATTTTGCTAATTTCTGCCCCCCATGAACTGTTTCTCCTCTGCATTGTCCCTCTGCCAGGCCACCCTACCTTGGAGCTACTGAAACCTCTACCAACTGTGAGCTCAATAAACCCTCCCCCTTTTAACTTTGGGTGTCAGGTATTTTGGCTCGGCGACAACAGAAAAGTAACTAAGACGGCCAGTTTCAAGCTACCAATGTGATGTCTCTGAATGGGAAGAGGGAAGACGTGCCCACAATGGGCTGGAAGAGTGGGAAACAGCACCCCACGGAAGGGGGTGCTGGCAGGAGCCCTGGGGGGACTCACTGGCACACCGGGCTCCCCCGAAGCCGACACTGCAGATGCAGGAGCACTCCTCTTCCCGGAAGTGGCCGTGTACACACTGCACGCTGCACCGCACTGCCACAGTGGAGAGTGGGGTGAAAGGGCTCAGCCTCGAGCGTTCAGGGGTGCCAGCCCCAGCAAGAGCATCCCCACCAGGGCTTCCAACTGCTGCCGCACTTGGCTTGTTTGGTCTGTGTCTCATTGCGGAAAGAAGTGACTTAGGAGGTGACTAACCTATGGCCATAAAGTGGGGAGCAGGAAAGTGGAACAAGAATCCACTCCTATTTCCTAGTTCTTTCCTCTTCTCACTGTCCCATAGCCTAAGAGGCCAAATCTGATTCCACTTTGCGCCTCTTGCAGAGCTCAGGGTATGATAGACAGAGCTCGATGGATGCTTGTTGAATGAAAGCGTGGAATATACAGACCTAGCAAGTACAGAGCAGGTGTGTACTCAGCCAGGCTCACCTCCACACCCTCACCTTGGCAGTATCTGCCTGTGTAGCCAGGTGGACAGTGGCAGTGGCAGGTGCTAATGTTGAGGTGTCCATGGTTCCGACAGCTCATGCGGCACGGGTTCCTGGGGACCTCTGGTCAGGGGAGGAGGGAACTCTAAGAAGGAACTTCTTCCCACAGGCCAGACAGGGGCCTCCCCAGGCGCTAAGGGCCAAGGCTTCCGAGAGAGCCTCTCAGGCTACTTCCACCCACCTGGGGTTGCCAGGCCAAGCCCTGATGTGCCTGCTGCAGGCAGAATGGGGCACTCACCACAGAGCCCCCCTGCGTGGTCCCAGGCCTTGAAGCAGCCTGAGACACTGGCTGTGCAGAGTGAACACCAGGCGCCCTTCTTATAGGGGACAATCGTCTTCCCATTCACCTCCCAGTTGCCTCTGTGAGAGCAAAGGCCAGCAGGGTGTCAGGGGAAGATTTGCTAGGAGAGAAAGATGGTCTCCAAACAAACAAGTCCTTAAAGCATAGTTACACTTCCAGGATGGGGCATCCAGGGACGAGCTCTGTTCTGTGTGACCAGAATCTAATGTACTAACCTCTGTTTCCTCCCCACCGCCACCCTCAGCAAGCAAGCAGACCTGAGAGTGAGTGGGCGTCTTACCTTGGGAGAACGTATCCCGCCCCGCCCTCCCGCAGCCCATGTCTCAGGGGCTTACCCAGGGGAGTAAGCACAGACGAAGGCTTCCATCACTGCTTTGCCCATGGAGCACAGATGCCGCCCGCAGCCCAGCTGGCTCGAAGTGGCCCACACAAGCTACAGGAAACATGGCGGCCAGAAACCCTGTCACAGACTACCCCCATCTCCATCTAAGGCCAGGGGCACAGGCATTGCACGCCGAAGGCTGGGGGCACACAGCTTTGGCCACAATCCAGGCAGACAGCCAGCTCCCCCACCTCCCTGGGGCCCTTAGAAGCAGCACTGGGCGGGTGCAAGCTGTAAGGATGGTGAGCATCGGAATCCAGTCAAGTCCCTGAGCAGAGAGGGGAGCAGAAGGTGAGGATTAGAGGATACTTGAGGAAAAGATTGTGGGTAGATGGAGAATGATAAAAGAAAGACTCAAAAATCAAGGGCCTTGTGATAGATTGCAAAAATGGCCAAGCCTTTTACTTCTTCCCCTAGTCCACTCCTGTAAATATGATTTTACAGCCACTTAAAGGAACTAATGAGGTCTTTTTACCCTCTTTGAATTTGGTTGGCCCTGTGACTTGTGTTGGTTTAAAATGCAGCAGAAATAATACTGAGCCAATTTTTTTTTTTTTTTTTGGTACCAGGGATTGAACTCAGGACCTGCGCTTGCAAGGCAGGTGCAGTACCACTGAGCTAAATCCCCAGCACTGAGCCAGTTTTGAGCCTGGGCCTCAAGAGACTTTGCAGTTTCCACTCATGCTCATAGAACCATGCTCAACTATCCCATGAATGAGCCTAGGGTGGGACATTAGAGGTTGAAAGGATTCACAGGGCAGAGATGAGTCATTTCAGGCCATGCTAAACAGCCAACTCTAAGTGTCTGGGTCCAGTAGAGACCAGAGCACCTCCCAGCTGAGCCCAAACCAAGAGATCAGCCTGCAAAATCATAGGCTGCTAAATTTTGGGCTGGTGTGCCATTCAGCAAAACTAGATGTAGGTCTTTACACTTAGATTTTTTTGTGTGTGTACCGGGGCTCAAACTTGGGTCCTTGTGCTTGCGAAGCAGGTGGCAGAACCATTGAGCTAAATCCCTCTTTAAATTTAGATTTAAAGTCTTAGAGTTGGTGACACATTGGAAAAAGCACAAATGATCAATACACAAGAACAACTAAGCAAATGCTGTAGTAGCCACTAAAAATGACAAACACCAGACTGGATTGTGGCAGGAAGATGTAAACATGTATCATGCATGTGTCCAACAATTAGAGAATATGGTCTTTTTAGGAATCTATGGAACTTTTGCAAGCTTTGAGGTATCACTAAATGACAAAGCAAGTTTCAACTAAGACCAAAAAATCACTATCTTATAGGCCACGTTGTATTAATTCAATGGAATAAAATTTAACATGGATAATTTATTTATTTATTATTTTTGGTGGAGGGTTGAGACAGAGTCTCACTATGTAGTTCAGACTGCCCTAGAACTCACTATGTAGCCCAGGCTGGTCTCGAACTCTCAGCAATCCTCCTGCCTCAGCCTCCCGAGTGCTGGGATTACAGGCATGTGGCACCATGCCTGGCTCTAACATGGACAATTTAGAAGTAAGTAAAGAAAATATATTCTGGAAATTTAAATATATATTTCAAAATTTAAAAAAAAAAACCCAACATCATGAAGCTGAGGCAGGAGGATCACAGGTTTGAGCTCACCCTGGGCAGTTTAGTGAGACCCTGTCTCAAAAATTTAAAAAGGCAAGGAGGGCTGGGGAAATTGATCAATGGAAAGGCCCTAAGTTTAATCCTCAGTACCACCACCAGGAAAACAAACAAAAAAACCCAAAACAACAACAAAACCACAAGATTGGAAATGGAAAACAGCCCTAATAGCAGTGAAAATACTCAGTATAGAAATTTATAGGATACAGTCGGGTGTGGAGCACACCCCTCTAACCCTAGCATATATACACAAACACACAAAAACAAAATACAGTGCCACTGTTATGGGAGGGTGACAGCAAACAAAATAGAGATTATTCCAGTGAACAGAAAATGAAGCACAGATTCCAACTCACTTCCTGAAGTCAACATAGCCTTGCTATAACCCACGTAAGGAGAGTATGAGAAAAAAATTCAAGGTCAGTTTTACTACTGTTATATGTGTAATAATGGTATTAAAGCATACTTGGAATTTTGCTTGTATTTTCCAATGTTGTACATCAGTGCCTAAACAGTGTCAGGTATGTAGAGGGCACTCAATAAATTCTTGTTGAATGAAAAGAAAAAAAAATGTGCTTGTGAATGAAATACCCTCTAGGGAGAGACGGAGGGAAAAGGTAGTAACATCTTCTAAATCCAGGGAGAAAGAGAGGACCCATTTTTACATTTATGTTTAAAACCATTCCTATTTGAATTTGTAAATAACCAAATGTGGTGGCACAATGCTGTCATCTTAGCATTCTGGGAAGCTGGGGCAGGAAAATGTTCAAGCCCAGCTGGGACAATTTAGTGAGGTAGAGAGACCCTGTCTCAAAATTTAAAACCAGAAGGCATCTGGGGCTATATTCCAGTGCAGAGGTCCTCAGTTCAATCCCTGGTACCACTACAGAAGTTACAAAAAGCAAAACTAAAGCCGGAGGAAAAGAAACCCCAATATTTAGGACTAAGGGTAGCATCTTCTGAGATGCCCCGCCCAGCCCCAGGGGAGCCTTGGTCTCTCCTGTGACTCACCTGGGTGTAGTGTGTGCAGGTGGCATTACGGGCACACTCAGCCGCCTCGTAGCTGTACCGCTGCCCCTCTGCAAACCAGAGGTTGACCACTCCAGTAAAGGACACCAAGCCTTCGGGCAGCAGATGCATATTCCAGCCCATTTGCGGGGTGTGCCGTGGGACAGGTGCCGGGTCTGGGGCTGGTGTGCCACAGAGGGCTGCCCTGGCTTGAGCCAGCTGAGCCAGGCTCTCGTTCCAGTCCTAGGGTGGCACAAACACATCCACAGAAGGATTTTGGGGGAAGGAGGAGACCACTGGGTAATGTTCAGCTCACCCACTGCCTCTGAGCACTAGTGGGCTACTGGGTCATGGTGAGAGGAGAGCACTGGAGGAGGAGCCCTGCTGGCTGCCCAGTGCCCAGTGCTGGTTTCCCTCACTTCACAGGGCAAGGGTGGGTCAGGTGCCAACCCAGGAGCTCTCTCTCCAAAGTGTGTTGGGAAAGCACAGGTATCTGACACCTGACCCAGAGCTCTGCTCTTCCCAGGAAGAGCCACCATCTTCCCAAATCCCACATGAGCACCCTGAGGCCCTTCCCAGGGAACAGTGCCTGGTGACAGGGTGGGCGGACTTCTGCTGTCATTTACACTGTGCTAATGTAAGCCTCAGGTAGTGCTCAAGCCTTGCAGACGTGTGGTGCTGGAGATCAAACCCAGGGGCATACTACCACTGAGCTACGTACCCAGCCCCTTTCATTAAGATAGGATCTTGCTAAATTACCCAGGCAGGATGTGAACTTGAGACTCTCCTGCCTCAGTCTCCCAGAGTGCTGGCATTACAGGCATATACCACCATGCCTGGTTTGTTTTGCCATTCGGTAAAGCTAGCCCTGGCCATTTCAGAAGCGCTCTGCTGCTCCCACTTGGCCAGGCTTCCCTCCTGAGATGCAAACAGGCCCAGCAGCCAGCCCTCTGTTCTGGTTCTCCTAGGCCCTCCATCCACCTGAGCACCTAGGAATACTGGTTCAGAGGAGATCTGTGAGCAGTCTCCTGGGCCTAGCACTTTGGCTCTGTGCGCAGAGTGCTCTGGGGTGGGCGCACCTGCTTTTCCCCACCACTTACAACCCCGTAGAACAAGGGGCTTTCTGTAGTCTTTTTGCCACGGCCACCCCCACTCCAGCCCAGCCACCTCATTCAGGCCGTGTGACCTCCAGCAGTCACTTAATCTCCACGAGACGTCATCGTCTATAAAGTGGAGCCAATACAGTGCCCACAGGATACGACTGCTGTAAGGATGCAGGGAGAAAGGTGCCAACTGGGGCTGCACCCCCTGCAGGCTGCGTGGGCAGATGCTCACTGTGATTTTACCTCTGGTGAGAATGGACAGGGGCGGAGGCGGAGGAGCAGGGCAGGGGAAGGGGGAGAAGGGGCCGCCCACCGCCCCACCCCCACCTCCTGGGAAACTGACCCCGGGCTCTCAAGGTCGCCACCCACGGTTGCTGCCAGCTGCTGAGGAGTTTATGGGAAGCAGCCATGGGGAACCCGGTCTCTCTTTTTTCTCCCAGCCTCACTCCCTGGCCTATTAACGGGCTGGGGCTGCAGGGGTCCCCGACTATGGGGCAGCATTTCTGAGCCCCGGGATGACAGGCCCAGCGCTCAGCCTCCGTCAGGGTGGTGGGTGGAGAACCCTGAGTCCTCACCCCTGGTTCCCGCCATGGAGTGTGGATAGGGGACCGAGCAGGATCCGGCTCACACACAGCCCCTCCGAAGCCCCGCCCCGTAGGAGCCCCACCCCTCCCTTCCTGCTGGACTCTTGTACTGCTCTTCTCTGGAGAAGGGGATCCCTCACCCTCCCATGGCTTCTGGGTTCCATGGCAGCGGGATACCAGGGAAGCCCCAAGGTCTGCTCCTCACACAGGCACGAGGCAAGGGGCTGGCTTCCTAGGCGGAAGATCTGGGGAGGAGAAAGCTGCAGAGCCTCCCGGGGGCTAAGAGGACTGGCTGTCTGTGCCCACCCTACCCGGGAGGCACGCCTGGCACTGGCGCGGCCCCTGACCCCCAGGGTCTCTGTCCTCCCCTCCTGCGAGTTGTCATCTCTGTAGCGCAGGACCAGAGCACTCACCATTCTCCGCATGTTGGCTGCTGGGGGCTGCACCCGGCTGCGCAGGCGGTTGTGCAGGGACAGAAGTGAGAAGCTCTCCTTTCTGCTCAGGGCTGGGGACCAGGACAGGAGGTCAGGCCACCCAGCAGCTGGACCTGTGCCCACCCTCGTAGCAAGATGAGAGTTGCCCCCACCTCTCGGACACCAGCCCTAGGATGGACGGGACATGGGTGTGGAGTGGGGGTGCGTAGAGCACAGAGATGGAGGGAGACCCGAAGGTGGGGCCGGACCCAGGGATGGGAAGAGAGAGACCAGTGCTGGGACAGTGCTGACTGGGCATCCATGGCGAGAAGAGGCCAGGGCAGAGTGTGGGGAGGGGCCAGGCCTGCATTCCTCTCAGGCCTCCATTGCTTCTGTGCTGGGGCCCCTCCTTCACCTCAACCCTGGGCCCCTCCCTTTCACGCCACTTCACCCCCAGCCCCAGGATCACACCCTGAGCGGTCCCCCCAGGTCTCCCATCACATGACACCAGCACAGCCTGGGCCTTGGGCCTGAGACCTGGTGCCCCCGTTGCATTCCTCGCCATGGCTCCTCCACCTCTGTTCTTACCAGATGGTCCTTACCTCCTGGCACTGGAGCCGGTTCTGGCAGCTGGGGTGGCCACATTTCTGCCCAGGTGATGCCAAGGATAGCCAGGAGCACAGACAGGAGGCCTGACCAGTGGCCCTGGCCTCCTGGTCCCACGGAGGGCTCCATCTGCAGCATGGGCCTGTCAGGCTCTGCAGGCACAGCCTGGATCAGCTGTCCAGCTCCTCCCTGGGCTGCATGGAGCGATTCTCAGACTGGAGGAGTGGAGCTGGGCTGGCAGACAAAGGGGGAAGTAATCAGTGTGTCCAAACAGCCTCCCGCATCGGTGCTAGATTGAAAAGAGGTATACAGCTCCCCAGGATGTCTCCATTGTTGGGCCTCCTCCCGGCCTGGCCAGCCTGCCCCACTGACTGCAGGCAGAGCAGTGTGCACTGACCTCGTGGCCCCTGCTAATCATTGCAGGATTATTGGCACCCTCGGGGAGCCCTTGGAGACCCTGCTATTGGCTCTCAGACATTCCAGGGCTGGGCATTAGTGGCCGATGGCTGTACCCAGGCTGGGACAATGTCCTCCAGGGCCATCAGCAGCTTCCACTCCCCCGTCCCAGGCCCAGATGAGAAGGCTGGGGCTTCAGCTGTGTCCCCGTGGGGTGGACAGGAACTGGGCAAAACCCCAGGGGAGTTCTTTCCTTTCTCTGGAAACTAATCCCAACCTCCCAGCCATGAATTAAACATAGGCCGGAGGTAACTGCACACTGGACAGGTGCCGCCAGTAGGCTCTTAGGAGAGCAGGCTGGGGCTGCTCCTTCGGGAGGAAAAGCGTGCCTTACAGAAGTCTCTCTGGGCCGCATGGCGGGGCTGAGCCTAGCTCCGGTGCTTACCACCCTCACCCATGTGACTGTGGGCCAGGAGAGGGCAAAGTGGACAGACAAAAGAGCACGTGATGGATGAGCTTGGCTGACTCAGGCCTTGCAGGGAACAAGTCTGGCTCTGGACAAACAGGCCAAGGGCTAGCAGGAGGGGAGCAAAATGTCACGCTACCAGTGGGGGGCTGGCTGAGGCCTGCAGAATCCCACCATAACCAGAGAAGCAGTTCTGCTCCAAAGCCCACATTCCTTAGAAAATTAAACACTGTCCTGCAGGCCGCAGCCAGCCCAAAGCACAGCCTTGCAAGCCAACCACTTCCTCCTGGCGTTTGTGTGGTTCCTGGCCCCTGAGCTAGCACCCTCTCGGGGCTGAGGGCCAACGCCATGGAGTCTCTGCTGAGATACAAGTGGGCTTGACTTTCTGGGGGATGCTGATGGGATCACTGTGAGTGTCAGGCAGTGGAACAAGGGACCCCAAAGCTGACCTGGCAACCTCAAAGCACCCAGGTCCGAGGAGTGCCTAGAAGCCACCTTCTTAGTCCAGCTTACAAGACAAGTTCACATGTGTAGGTTCAGTCATTGTTACAACAATCTGTGTAGTAGTAGATGTGACATATGCTGCTCACTTTGTAGATGAGGAAACTTGGGCTCAATATGTCTCCAGGACTTGTCCAAGGTCACCCAGCAAGGACATGGTACACCCCAACTAGTTCAGGGTCTCTGCCTTCACATTCCTACGGCCTTAATTCACATTATGGATTTTCTTGAGTTCAGTTTTTATAGCCATGATCCATGTTGACTAATGAATGACCCAGATCCTGGTCCCGGACTTCTGCGATAAATGTCACTCGTTTTCTCTTGAAGTGCAAAGACAGGCCCTTGGGAAAGCTAGGAGGAAAATCTATTCTGGGAGTTGGGGTAGAATAATTTTTGAGGCTCACTATAAGAGGTGACCAGAGCAAACCGAGCTTAGGAGCCAGAAGAGGAAATGCTGTGGATAAAATACTAGACAGGTGCCTGAAGGCCCAGGGCCTAACTAAGATGCTCCGTGTGTCTCTGTGACTTCTGTGTGGCCTGGGCCTCAGTGTCCCATGGCATACACAGGAGTGCCAAGCTCTGCTGGGCTCCCTGAGGGCCTTGCACCATGGTTTACCTAGTAGTTAGTTCCTCCTGGGTCCACATTTTTTCCTGGAACTTGCTCAGTGGTTGGGTTGAGTTTTGAGAATGGGCCTGTAAGCTTGCAAGGCAGCTTTCCCTAGATGAGGCTTTGTAGGGTTTATATTTACCACTCAGGTATTAGAACTCACATTCCAGTAATATGCTTTATTGCATGTCTCTACCTATTCACCTGCTACTAATAGTCTGAATATTTTTTTCATTTTTCTGAGACAAGGTCTCACTACGTAATTCAAGCTGCCCTTGAACTCACTATGAACCCCAGGCTGACCTCAAACACTCAGCAATCCTCCTGCCTCAGCTTCCCTAGTGCTGGGATTATAGGCATGTGCTATCACCCCAGGCTTATAGTTTGAATCTAGAATGTCTTTCCAAAAGTCTTGGCTGCTAGCCTGTGTGAGCTATCGGAAGGTAGTAAGGCTTTTAAGAGCTGGGGCCCAGTGGATGAATTAGGTCATTGTGGGCTCTCCTTGAATGGGATTTTGGGACCCAGGCCCCTTCCTGTCTCTCTTTGCCTCCATCTACCATGAAATAAGCTTTGCTCCACCATGTTCTCTCACCATGATGTTCTGTTTCACTTTGGGTCCAAAAGCAATAGATCCAATCGACTGTAGCATGGAGCCCCTGAAACTGTGAACTGAACTGAACCTTTCTTCCTTTTAAGTTGATCGTCTCAGCTATTTTGTCACAGTGATGCAAAGCTGACTAATAATACACTTTCCAGCTCATGGCTAGTAGACACCTCTTCTTTTGGTTTATAGTCTTCTTCAAAAGCTTACATAATCTTTGAGCCATTTTATTTCTTCCAGAAGCAGGTCATGTTTTCAGGAGTGTGAAATATTGCTGATGTTCTCCCCAGAAAATCTCTTCCAGATTTACATTCAAATCTAGGAGACCCGTGGCGACATCTCTTTTAGAAATTACATGCCCTTATTCTTTTTTGATACTGGGGATTGAACTTGGGTCCTTATGCTTGGGAGTCAGGCAGCGGAACCACTGAGCTTAATCCCCAGCCCCTGCCCTTATTCTTTTTATCTATAAGCTTTAAAAGTTTTAATTTGGGTGGTGCTGCTTGCCTGTAATCCCAGAACTCTGGAAGGCTGACACAGGGAAATCATAAATCCAAGCCCAGTGTGGTGACTTAGCAAGACCCTGTCTCAAAATAAAAAAATATAAAGAGGGCTGGGGTTGCCTTGCAGACAGGCTGGGATCCCAAGTGATGGGACTCTTGGGGAGCTTTAGGCCAGCGAGAGTGCTCTAGAGGCTTTGGTGGAGCCCCGAGATGTCCAGGAAGTGGATGTCTGTGGAGGAGAAAATGAAGCTTGGTGCTGTGTACCCCACATTACCCATCACCCAGAGTCTGGTCAGAGACGGACTACACCATGGGAGAATTCCATACAAAGCCTCATGTGCTCAAAGGTGAGACTTATGAAGGGTGATTGAATCATAGATAAATGCTGGCTAAACCCTAGGTAAATGTCAGTTAGGAGGTGGGGCCTTGGAGGAGGCGGATCACTGGGGGTACAACCCAGAGGGGTCTATCTCCCTCCTGGATTTCTCCTTCACTCTCTGCTTCCTGGCTGCTATGGGGTGAGCATCCTTCTTCTTCCAGATCTTCCACCATGCTTTCTTGCCTTGGAGGCAGCCAGCTATGTATGGGCTAAAAATGTGAGTCAAAATAACTCTTTTCTCTAAGTTGTACATGTTGGTATTGTGTTCCAGCAATATGGAAAGTAACTAAGACATGAGTAGACTTGTCACAGTAAAGGAAATTGAGTGACTGATTAAAAATCTTCCTATAAAGAAAAACTCAAAAGGAATGGAGCTCAGGTGCAGAGAGAAAAACCTTTGTCTAGCATGCCCAAAGTCTGGCTTCAATCCCCAGTACTGAGAAGGCAGGAAGGAAGGAAGAAAGAAAGAAAAGTTCCAGTGAAAATGTTTTCACTACTTTACTGGTGAATTCTAGAAAATGTTTAAGGAAGGAGTAATACTGCTCATATGTAAACTTTTTAAAAAGGGAAGAGGAGTACTTCCTGAATTTTTCTATCAGGGCAATATTATCCTGACACCAAATCCAGGCAAAGGGATCACAAGTAGACCATAGATCTCTTCTGAATGAAAACCTTCAACAAAATATTACAAAACTCAACCTAGTGATATATAAAGAAGATTAAACACCATGGCTAAGTAGCATTTATTCCACGAATGCAAGATTAGTTCACCATTTGAAAAATATAATGTAGGGTTGGGGATTTAGTTCAGTGGTTCCGCTGCCTGCTTCCCAAGTGCAAGGGTCTGAGTTCAATCCACGGTACCAAAAGAAAAAGAAAATATAATGTAGTATGCTAATAATGTAAAGGAAAAAACCCACAAGAGCAAATCAAAGACAATGATAAAATCCCAAACCATACAGGCAAGATAGTGCACACCTTTGCACACCCAGCCACTCTGGGGGCTGAAGCAAGAGGATCATTCAGGCCCAGGAGTTCAAGACCAGACTGGGCAATATAGTGAGACCTTGTCTCAAACAACAATAACAACCGCTGGGCGCAGTGGCGTACGCCTGTAATCCCAGCACTCGGAAGGCTGAGGCAGGAGGATCGCTGTTGAATTTGAGACCAGCCTGGGCTCCATAGTGAGTTCCAGGTCAGTCTCAACTACATAGTGAGACCCTGTCTCAAAACAAACAAACAAACAAACAAAAAAACAGTAACAAAGGTAAATACAAAGACAAATAAAAATACCTGAATATATAAATGACATTGATGAGCGAAATTTAAAATGTAAACAAATGAAGAGACATTCTGCACTCATAGATCGTAAGAGTCAATATTGTTAAGAAGGTAATTCTCCACAGATTCATCAGCTGAGTCAATGCAATCTCTGTTACTATCTCCCAGGTTTAAAAAAAAAACAACTTTTAGTTCCATTTTGCCTTAGTGAAAGGAAATGATAAAATAATGAAAGGGTAAACAATGAATAAGGAAAGGATAGAGTGTGACTTACCAGTGATACAGTGTGCATAAGAAGTGTGTTTGTGTCCAACAGCACCAAATCCACACAGGACTCGTACCTAACAACAGCATCACTCAGCAGGTACGCTGGTGGCCAGGTAGATCAATCACTTAGCAGGGAGGGGGTTTTATAGATTGAACTATATAGTGGCATTATTAGTTGTTTGTCCTACTGTGTGACCAGCATTTTAAGAAATAGCTGCCTTAGCGTATAGGCAGGCAAGCAGCTCCTATAGATAACACCTAGTTTGCCCAATTCCCAGGGGCCCTCAGATAATACTTACCTGGGAAGTCCCATCTCTTTCTGTCTACAATGAACCCTGGACTTGGCAAGACTCTTAAGAACACAAAGAGGCCATTTCAGGGACATG